ATGGAATGAGATTGGAAATAAGATCTAAGTTTCCTTGAGGCGACGACCACAGCAAGAGCGAGTTTTTCTAAGGTTGGGTAGCGAGCTTCAGCACCATCTAAGGTTTTGCTGAAGTAGAAGATCGGCTTCTGCTCCCCACGATCCTCTCGAACTAAGACTCCACTGATTGCTGCGCTAGAGACCGCAACGTAGCGTAGTAGAGTGTCGCCGTATTCAGGTTTAGCCAGGATCGGTGGAGTCAAGAGGTAGATTTTGAGCTGTACGAATGCGTCTTCGCACTTCTCGTCCCATTCGAATCGCTTGTTCCCTCGTAGGAGTTGATAGAAGGGGAGACACTTGTCTGTAGATCGGGATATGAATCTGTTTAGAGCGGCTATTCTTCCTGTTAGGCGCTGAACTTCGCGGGTGTTAGTCGGCGAGGGTAGTTCCAAGATCGCGGAGATCTGCTTAGAATTGGCTTCGATGCCACGCTGAGTGACCAAGTAACCTAGAAATTCGCCTGATGTGACTGCGAATGTGCATTTTGCGGGGTTGGGTTTCAAGCCATACTGGTTCAGTATCAGAAAGCATTCTCGCAGATGGACTATGTGATCGGCTGCTTTGGCTGATTTGACGAGCATATCGTCAATGTATACTTCCATCGTCTTCCCAAGCTGGTCGGCGAACATTTTGTTGACCAGGCGTTGGTAAGTGGCTCCAACGTTTTTTAGACCGAACGGCATGACGTTGTAGCAGTAGGTGCCCCGATCTGTGATGAATGGGGTCTTCTCGCTGTCGTCCGGATTCATGAGAATCTGATTATATCTGGAGAATGCATCCATAAAGGAGAGAAGCTCGTTGCCTGCTGTAGCCTCGACGAGCTGGTCGATACGAGGAAGGGGGAAACTGTCTTTCGGGTAAGCTTTGTTAAGATCGGTGAAATCCACGCAGACCCGCCACTTGCCGTTTTTCTTCTTGACGACCACCGGGTTTGCGAGCCAATCCGGATATTTTACTTCGGCGATTGATCCAGCTTTCAAGAGTTTATCTACTTCGTCGTGGACGGCTTGTGCTCGCTCAGGTCCTAACTTTCGTCGCTTTTGTTTGATCGGCTTGAAGGTCGGGTCGACGTTTAATTCGTGACTCGTTATTCGGGGGCTAATACCCCTCATATCGGCCATAGACCACGCAAACGTTGCGACGTTCTCTTGGAGGAAACTGATCAGCTCGTCCTGCATGCTAGGCAATAGTTCCGTGCCGATACCGACGCAACGTTCTGGGTGGGCAGGATCGATGTTGACTTGGGTGATAAGATCGCTCTTCGGCTGCTCGTCGTGGTGAACGATCCGCGGGTCGAAGTTGCTACTGCTGCCGATGACGAACGTTGATGCCTGTCGGGCCCGTTTGTTGTCGATGTAACAATGTCGGGACACTGTCTGATCGCCACGGATGGTGATGACGCGGCCCCTGATCGGCATCTTGATGCATTGGTGGTAAGGAGAAGGGATGGCTCGCATGGCGTTCAGCCATGGTGTTCCGAGGATAGCATTGTAGATTGCAGGTCGGTCAATAACCTCAAACTTGACCGAAATGGACTTCCCGCGTATGGTGACAGGCATCGTTATAGTTCCTATTGTCGAAATTGAGTCGCCAGCGAATCCTGTTAGCGGGGATGGTGCGACTTTTATGTCCCGCTCGGGAATACTCATCTTGCGCAGAGTATCCATGAAGATGAGGTCGACCGAGCTACCAGTGTCGATCAACACTTTGGAGACGTCGTCCTCTCCGAGTCGTAGTGAGATAACGAGTGGATCGTTATGAGGTCGGTCGATATCCTGCGCGTCCTGCTCTGTGAATGTGATTGGTAGGTCGTCCTTGAATAGTAGTGGTGCGTCCTTTGGGGGATTAGCTGCCCTCCGCTCGTGCCGTTTAATTGAATTTATCGAGTCTGTGCACGAGAGGAGCCCTCCCATGATCATGTTAATCCGCCGACGTGGTGAGCTTGGGGGTGTGTGATCGTCTTCACGGTCACGCTTTGCTTCCTTGCCCTCACGTTTAGAAGAGCGGTCGGTGGTATCTTTTCTATCGCGATCGTCATTGGGTCGCCTGTCCTCGTCATTAGATCGTCGTAAACTCCGGGGTTCTGGAAGGGTGATCTCGCCATCCTCCCACCTCTTCCTCAAGAGGGCTGGGAGAAGGCGGCAATCATCGGTATCATGACCGTGCGCCTTATGGTATTTGCACCACGGCTTCCTGCTGTCAGGGTCTCTATCGCTCGAACGGTCCCACACGTTCCATGGCTTTTTTGGTTGTCCAACTGCGTTGATGCTCTTGCGGTTCTTGTCGTCCTTGTCGTAGTGCTGACGGGGTTCTTTGTAATCTTCCTGACTCGATCTGCCTTTCTTGTCGCGCGAAGATTTCTCATCGGCCAACTTGGCCTTGGCCTTGGCTGCCCGATCCTCTTCGACTCTGATGTATCCTGATGCCTTGTGCAAAGCATCTTCGAGGGTTTTGGTTTTTCCAGTCTTCAATCGTTCACAAAACGATGAATCCTCCTTCAAATTCTTGATAAGAATGTTGAAACACAGTTCGTCCGACAGATTGCACTGGGAGACGATTGCTCGGAACCGATCGATAAAATCGCGCAGCGACTCGGTATCGCCCTGGACGCACGCCCATAGATCGAGCGCTGTAGACTCCGTGTCGATGTAGATCGAGTAATGCTTCAGGAACCGAGCTGTGAGCTCCTTGAAGCTGTCGATGGAGTTCTTGGGGAGCTGTGAGAACCAGGTGAGGGCGCTTCCGGAGAGTGTCTCCACGAAGTACTGACAGAGGCATGCTTCCCGTTCCTCGTCGGTGAAGCGAGCACGTCCCATGACGGCGTTGAACGCGGTCAGATGTCGCTTCGGGTCTGTCGTACCGATGTAGCTTGGAGGTAGCTTCATCCGGCCTAAGTCCTTGAGAGGAGCGTTGGTGATGGCCGATGTGAACGGGGTCTGCTGGGTCTCCTGGAGGATCTTCTCCAACTCTGGTGCTGAGGTTGTTGCCTTGTGGATCTTGCTGTGGATATCGTCAAGGCGTTGGTGGAGAAGATCGAGCTCCGAGGTTGTCGTCAGGTCGGTGCCTGCGGTATTGCACGACGAACGGGCGTTCGAGCCCTCTGCACGTGCTCTCCGCAGGTCGTCTGTCGGTGTCGTGCCAAACAGGTTGTTGACTAGCCTGGTCGTGTCTGTGTTGCGGATCGAAGGGCGGGGAGGGGTGATTAGATTGGCCTGCTCTTGAGTATGAACCCTAGAGTTGAGAAGCCGATCTAGGTCCTCTCTGTAGGCTATCTGCTCGGCACGGAGAGATTCGAAGCGAGCATCCATCCCTTGCTGCAATTGCTCTGCGACCGACCTGATGATGGTGGCCATATCGATGAGAGGTGGCTGTGGTAGGCTGGTCGTGTTTGAACCACCTGTCTGACCGACCTGATCTGTCTGCGTGGTATCTGTGTTGTCCTGATCGGTTTGGTGGCCCATCGGGAGTCCGGTGGCTGGATCGATGACCAGATCCTGGGTGTTTCTCGTCGGATCGGAGGCTCCGGTGAGGTCGGTAGTGTTGATCGGTGTTTCAACCATCTTCGAACTTCCTTCTAAGTCAAAGGTTGCTCTTTTATTCCCCTCAGACGGCGCCAACTGTAAAAACTCAAGTTCGAGCTAAGAAAGAACTAGGGTTTTGAAGGTTTTAAAGAGATCTTTTATTAGAAGAAGCCGGAGCTTGAGTGAATACAACGGTGTTTAGGTCGTCGGAATAAGAACGCCGACCTAAAACTCTTAAGGAAAGTTAACCAAAAAGCTAGAACAATCTGATTGCTTAGTTTGCTCTAGGTCTTGATTAATGATTTTTCGGATCGATTGAGAAGTCGAAGACTTCCTATATTTATACCCGATCAGGTCGGTCTTCATCCTATTCGGAATAGGAAACTCTTGTCGGCAAGGAGTTTCCTTTTTCGCCGGGTCGTCTGATAAATGGAAGCTTTCCTTTTATGTTGCCGACCTGGGATTTGTTTGATGGGCCGACTAGAATTCATATCGGGCTTGTTAGAGACGGTACAAATCTCATCTCTAACATAAGAAGATGGATGCTTAAATAGAGTTTTTATAGTATTAATCATAAAGCAAATAGGGCTGTGGTTGATATTTATGATAGTTGATTACTTTTGCCCCTTATATGAAAAGATTTTATTTACCCTTAATGAAATTAACAAATTAACATAATCTAATTTTTAATTGATTTTTTTTTAAAAAATATAGATTTCCAGATTTCCTCTTTATTTTCTCTTTCGCTAATTTTTAATTGATTTTCGTTTTTTTTAAACCTAAATTTCTAAATTTGAGATTATATAATAAAAATATTTAGTTTATTAAAAAAAGTAAGTAGCATAAATCACAAAAAGAAAAATCAATTTTTGAACAAGGTGCAGGGAAATACCTAGTTTTTAAATAAATAGAGTGAAGTTTTATTCCAATTGTTTGTTTTTCTATTTTTGCACTTTAGAAACAATACTTTAAGTATATTCTATTCTTTATTTATAATTTTTATAAAATCTTTTACTTTTTAATATACAAATTTTACCTATAATTTTTTTTTAAAAGAATAGTTCAGTGTTGAACGAAAAAACAAGCAATAGATTACGATTTTATTATCACTAGATGTTTACTATAAAAATAAAATTTTATTATGCCACAGAAAACTAATAACTTATATATTTTTTAGCAATTTTGTTATGTATTTCCACAAGTATTTTTTTTATTGAAGAAATTGTTGATGCATATCATCCATGCATCAAAGAATATGAAAGCTCATGTATATAAAGTATACAGTATATTTTTCTGTTATTAGTAACAAATTATATGTTAAACAATGCTTATTGCTTAGACGTATGTATATCGAGACTAGAGTAACATTTGCTATATTCGGAGTAAAAGTAGTTAAAAAAACAATGTATATCATTGGAGGTTATTCTCTAAAAATAGAATATGAAGGTAAAAAGTAAAAACAGAGTAGCAATGGTTCTAATATTTCAATTCCGCTGTTTACGCTTAGCGTCTCGTTTCTTGAGAGCGAAGAGATTCCAAAAATAGACAACGGAGAGGTTCAGGTGATGACGAAGCAACAAGAACCAGATCGTCGAAATTTAAGAAAAAGAAGAAGAAATCGACGAATCAAGGAGACATGCCGGTCATTGATATTATCTTCAGGGTCGAAGAGATTTGCAAGAAGTACGACAAGTACGACGTCGACAAGCAGCGCGAGCTTGGAGCTTCCGGCGACGATGCCTTCTCTCGCCTCTACACCTCCATTGATTCCGACATTGAAGCAGTTTTCCGTGTTCGTGTCTTAGTCCCTTGTTGGAAAAGTTATTGTAGTATTCGTTTGAATCGGAATTAGGTTAAAAGTTATTGTTATAATGTTTTAAATTGTTCTGTCCTTTTCTCATTTTGGTCTCGATTGCGAAATTGTTAACATAATTTTGAATTTCTATATGCTGGAATCTTGATTTTTAAATTTAATGTTGATGATCATGTATTTTTTTTGTTCTTTTTTAATTCAAGAATGTCAAAAAAAAAAAAGATTCGGAAATCAGACGACAAAACAATGTCGGAAAATGCGTTTCTGTAAGGTTTTATGAGAAATTGCTTCATTTCAATGACTCTTAATGTTTAATTTTGTAGCCAAAAACGTAAAAATTCTTTTTTTTTCGCTAAAAATGTTATTATGTGTTTCCCGTTTTCATGCTAAAAATTTGATTCTGAATTTCAAACTTTTCCGCAAAATGTAAAATTCTGGTTTTCATCAAAAACGTGATTTATATGTGTTTTCGAAACGTTTCATGAGAAATTGCTTCATTTCAGTGACTCTTAACGTTAAAATTTGTACCAAAAACTATGTAGAAAGCGGAATTGGCATCAACAGAGAGCAATAGAGCTGCAGCGGTGGCCATGAACGCTGAGGTTCGAAGAACAAAAGCGCGTTTAGCTGAAGATGTTGTTAAACTGCAAAAACTCGCCGTTAAAAAGGTTAACTTAAAATTACTTACCGTTTGATCCACTAATGACTCAAGATTGAGGAAATACCAATCGCATTTTGTATACAATACAGGTGAAAGGACTTACAAAAGAGGAACGAGAATCGCGATGCGATCTAGTTATCGCACTAGCCGATAGGATTCAAGTAATACCTGATGGAAATCAACATGCAGCTAAACAAAATGATTGGGGAGGTGCTTCTGCACCTAACAACAACATCAAGTTTGATATATCTGGTACTAGAATGTTTCAATTGTTCTTTTTGTGTTTATTCTTAATGCAAGAGACTCTGTAACTGTAAATGTAAACATTTTTGTTGTTTTCTTTCTATAAGAGGACGACATGGATGATGGGTTTTTCCAGCAAACTGAAGAATCAAGCCAGTTTCGACAAGAATATGAGATGAGAAGACAAAAACAGGTTACCTGGGTTTCACGGATCAGCTTTTTGTTTTGTTTTGTTACTTAGGTCAATGAGGATTTAGGTTAGTGTATGTTCTGTCTTTTTGTTTAGGACGAGGGTCTTGATGTTATATCAGAAGGGTTGGATGCACTGAAGAACTTAGCACGTGACATGAACGAGGTTTGTTGTTTTCTCATGCCACCATTAACATCTTGAGATGAAGAAATTCAAAATTATGTTTTTAACATTTTTCGGTTTTTAGGAACTTGACAAGCAAGTCCCATTGATGGACGAAATGGAAACAAAGGTGAGAGTTATTCTCTTCTTATTATATGATTCTTCCTCATTAGTTAGTAGAAGAAAACGCTAGAGAAATGATTTCTCCACGATTGTTGTAGGTTGATGGAGCATATTCGGATTTGAAGAACACAAACGTTCGACTCAAGCAACAGCTTGTGAAGGTAAAACCTAAAACATAAACCGGTTCTTGAACTTGTTTTATCATCAGGAATGATAATTGTTATTTTTATTGTCTCATCACACAACTCTCTATGCTAAAATTGGTTGGGGGGTTTTCAGATGAGATCTAGCCGCAACTTCTGCATTGATATTATTCTTCTCTGTGTGGTCCTTGGAATCGTCTCTTACATCTACAAGTAAGCCTGATGTCTCAGTTTTGCTCTCTTCTTTTTGATCACCTCCCAATCCAAATCGTTTCATCTAATTTGTCGAAATTTGCCTTGTTTCTCCATGGTAGTGCTCTAAACTAAAGTTGGAGATGGGCTACAGCGATATTCTTCTGGCCATTTATGAAGCCTACGGTAAGTTCTTAAACCAAGCTAATAAAGATACTTTTCTTGGAGAGCAAGCAAGTTAGTTCCTCAAATTTTTACCATATGTATTATACAGTTTTAACGGATTATTCTTGCTAAAAAAGATAAAAAAGAATATATATGCAAAAGTGTCGCTGTTTAAAAGTACGAGATATTTGGTTTATTTAGTTTTTTCTTCTTAGCGTTTGCAAATAGAATAGTTAGTAATTGTAAGCAAAACGGAAACGTGGAAGTAAAAGGATTTGGAAGAAAATTAACCGAGAATTCGTTACAATAAATCTTTTCAGTCATGCCTAATTTTTGTTTAACCAAGAAGTTTAGAGCCTACAACCCATGATTTCTTTTCACCGTACGTGGACAATGTTAATCTAGATTCCTCTCCATTTCGAAAAATAGAAAGATTCCTCTCCATTTTCACTGCTCGAATTTGGAACTTTTCCAACTTTTATAATGTTTGTACGCTATTCTTATTTTAAATACTAGAACTGGACCTGGTGTGAGTTATGTTTTTCTACTGGCCACAAGAAATAAATATTTAGATTCCATATTTTTTTAGCATATTTTTTTTTATGTATTTAGAAAAATTTATATTATGTGGATGTTAACATAATATTAATATTATCATTATATATTGTATCTTATAATCTTATATTTATAAGAACAGAAAACAAGACCATACAGATTTTTGTGTTTTAGACAGCACCAAGACGAATGCTTTTATTCATTTAAATCAGTAAGTTAATCTTATCATGATTACACTTAATTTGGATTTACACAACTCTAGCACTTTAGATTGTATCAACTGATCTCAAGCCTAAACTAGAACTCACCACACATGATTGTAGTTCTACCCAATATGAATACTAACCTCAAAGCTTCTTCTTCTGATTTGCTAAAAGCTTTAGACGCCGTTTTGATCTCTTACGTAGGTTAGAAGTGTTAACTTTTTACTTCTACCCTTAACCCCTTTAATACTAAATCCGTAGAACTAGCAAAACCTAAGTTTCCTAATCTTGAGCCTTAGCTTTCTTTTCTCTCCATCTTTCGCATATACTGCAATATACGAAAGTGTCTTGCGGAAGCCTCCTTGGCACGTCATCTTTTCTTCCGTGTACGGAGCTTTCCAAGTCTTTACTCTTCTTAAGTGCATGTGTTGCTCGCTCCATCTCAGCTGCATCTTCAATCTCTCCTTTTTTGACTTGACTTGGTGCTCATACATAACTTACCTGTAAAAGCCAAACCCACGCACAAGCCAATATACCAAACATATACACAATCCCACATAAACAAGTTGACCATAAAGAAATGCATAGTTTAAAACAAGGTTCAAAAGAAGCACACAAGCAAGGTTCCGAGAATAGAAAAATACAGGGAGACACACGAGTAGTTCACACAAACAAAAAATAAAAACTGCTCCCCCATACTAAGAAACTAACTCCCCCATACTAACTACTCCCCCATAATCCTTCAGCTTGGTGTAATATCCTCGACCTCATCATCTTCTTCTCCCACTTCTTGAGCACACAGTTAAGTCAAAAACACAAAAATGAGACCAAATTTGCAGCTGTCAAGGCTCAAAGACGACTTACCTGTTGCTAGGATCCTCTAAAGGACCCGAACTGCAGCCGTCAGAGTTATGCGGTCTCGGGGCGAGAGAGTGAAAGCCTTAGATCCAGCAGCAGTCGAGGCTAAGACTTCAAGTCGACCGCATTCCTTCTTGACAGCCTGAGCTGTTTCCTGTTTGACCATTGCCTTGGTTGCAACTGGCTTGTAGGTGAGAACAGAAGTCAAAAGGATCTCAGGATCCTGAACTATTGGGGCCTCTCGCAGAAGGAGTTGATAGATGGGACTTGGGAAGACAAGATTCCACTTTTTATCTCCAAGACAAGACTGATACACAATCTGATCAAAGACAACTTTTCCAAAATCAACCGGTATAGCATTGCAGACCTTATATACCATGTTCACTTTGTCCGGCCTAGGATATCCTGGATTTTCTGTTGGCATCCAGTTGGAGCAACAGATGCGATACAACAGAGCTTTGTACTGTGAGAATTGAGTAGGGGTCATCTTCTTCAGAAGTTTCTCCTTGTCATCAGACATAAAGTGGGCAAGAGTTTCTTCTGACAGCTCCTTAATCTCTGTCACCTTTGCCTGTGCAGCAAGCACGAATACACCAAACAGTTCATTAATTCGAGCCACCAAGAATTCGTACTCATGACCTCGAACCCACACAACAGCTACATCATCGACAGGTTTGACAAACGAGAGATGGGTATAAAACTCGAGGACCACATCTTTAGCATACAGCTGCACTAAACTCAGAGTGCTCCCCAAAACAGCATTAACAACAAGTGATTCAATTCTGTTGTGTTCCTCAGAAAACTCAACTAGTCGTTCCTCCAGAATCGGGCAGGATGAAAAGGACACATACCTCTCTTGAGCGTCAGCTGATTCAAACCGACTGGTGTCAAAAAGCAGAACTCCCTTGCCCTTGGCCTGTCGAGTCTTTTTCCGGCTAGGTTCTGACTGAGCAGGAGACGGAGAAACTGCAGCAGATGCCGTTCTTTTTCGAGTGACATAACAGCCTGTGGAGCTTTTGACCGCTGAGGATTGCTTGGTTCCGGTAGACTGGTTGGCGGATTCCGCCGGATAAACTGCTTCATCACCTGGCGGATCTGAATCGACCAATTGAATAATCGGTTCTTTAGAGGGCCCTGCTGAATCCTTACTCCCTTGATACACCACACCATGGCCATCCGATTGGATTAAGCATGCACTGGTTCAAAATCCAAGGTCTCTTGAGAGGCGGAATTGATGGGTGGTAGCGAGGATCCTGGCTGCTGTGAGACTGATGACGGCAGATCTTGTTCTGGCACGACCGGACTAGAGCCGACAAGACGCGACAAACCGGAGAGGAAGTGATTCATATCCTTCTTCTTCGAGTCCAAGAGAGAGAGAGAGAGATGAAAAGAGGGTTGTTTTTTTGTGTGGTTTTAAACAAACACCAAGAACCGTTTGCATTCCCTCTCTCGCAACCCTAATATATTCCCTCCAAAACGTTGCAGCTTTTCGAGATGGACTTGATCCTGTTGGGCTTAGCCCAAAACTGTGCACACACTTACGAGCCATGTTAGAAAGACTTGACATAATCTCTGTTAACCTAAGTAACAACCATGCACAGCAGACCTCTGTGACACCCACATATTCACTCCATAAACATACAAGATCATTCAAACAATTATAAAGAAACCCACATATTAAGTTTAGATCATGAGAGCTAGATACCTCTTGTGAGTAACCTTACATCTGTTATGTGTACTAACATGGACGTCCACAAGTTGATCCAGAACAAGCAGCAGAAACATGTTTATCTCACACAAACTCAATTTTGTTATTCGACCTCAAAGGCTAGATTTCACACCATCGTGTCTTTCTCCCAAGATCTCTCAGTTTTCATCTCGGACCACAGAGCTTTGTCACTCAACAGATATCCCGTTAAGGATCATCTTCTACTTCTTTTGAGCCATCACTTGATCCGTCATAAATCTAGATCACCAGGCTCAGCTATACAGTGGCGAGAGATCTCTGCATAGTCTCTACCTGAGCAGCCATTTTTTTGTTATTTTTTTGTGTGTGTGTGTAGCACTGCTCAGACTGCCTTTACGTATCAGGCTACCTTTTCCATATCTCTGTGATAACCACTTCTCTGTGAGTCACTGTTCTGAGTAAACCTCAAGATAACACGACAGGCAGCCCTCTTGACACGGATTTTCCCTTCCTTTTTTTTATTACCACCATGTTCATGTGCCTGTTCCTGTTCCATAACAACTCAAACACACACAAAGGTCAGATTTGATAAACACCAATGGACTTCCTCAGATTAGTAAATCGATTAAAGTCCAAAAGTTTGGTAAATAAATCAGCCACATGATTATCTGTACTCACATGTCTAATTTCTATGAGTTTTCCTTCTACAAGCTCACAAATGAAATGATGCCTAATGTCTATGTGTTTAGTCTGTGAGTGCTGAACAGGGTTCTTAGCAATTTTTATAGCACTCTCGTTGTCATAAAGAATTAACGTAGATTCAGAAATCATACCATAGCCAGCTAGCATCTGCCTCATCCACATAAGTTGTGTGCAACAGCTTCCAAATGCAATATACTCAGCTTCAGCAGTCGACAATGACACACTGTTCTGTTTCTTGCTATGCCATGGTATCAAGTTGTTCCCAAGGAAAAAATATCCTCCACTTGTACTCCGTCGATCGTCAAGACATCCAGTCCAGTCTGCATCATAGTAGCCGCCAAGATTCTTGTTTGTGTCCCTTGAGTAGTGAATCCCAAAATCCGCTGTGCTCATCACACACCTGATGATTCGTTTCACCGCAGTTAGGTGAGATGTTTTGGGTGAGGCCTGATATCTAGCACATATTCCAACCGCGAGACAGATATCTGGACGACTTGCAGTGAGGTACAACAGACTGCCAATCATCCCACAGTACACAAGAGGATCAACATCTTCGCCTAGTTCATCGCAGGACAGTTTCATATCCACTTCCATTGGTGGCTTAGCTGGTTTGCATGTGTGCATGCCAAACCGAGTCACCAAGTTTCGAACATAAGTACTCTGTGAGATGGTTATTCCCTCCTCAGACTGTTTTACTTGAAGACCCAGAAAGTAAGACAGTTCTCCGACCATACTCATTTCGAATTCTCTTATCATCATGAAGACATCTGTGTCCACAAGTGCTGGGTTCGAACTGCCAAACACAATATCATCCACATAGATCTGAATGACCAAGAATCCGTGCTCATCAGCTAAGAAGAACAGCTTCTTGTCCACACTTCCCCGTTGTAATCCATGAGATACCAGGAAGGTGGTTAGTCTTTCATACCATTCCCAGGGAGCTTGCTTAAGCCCATATGACGGATGATCAGGATCTTCGAAACCTTTGGGTTGTTCAAGATATATCTCTTCTTGAAGGAGACCATTGAGAAATGCGCTCTTGACATCCATCTGGTGAAGCTTGAACCCGACAAGACACGCGATCCCAATCAGAAGTCTGATGGACTCAAGTCGAGCAACTGAGGCAAAGGTTTCTTCAAAATCAACCCCTTCAATTTGTGAATACCCCTGTGCCACAAGCCTGGCCTTGTTACGTACCACTGTACCATTTTTATCAGTTTTGTTCTTGGAGATCCATTTGGTACCTACCACATTGCCAGTACATGGGTGTGGTACGAGAGTCCACACTTGACTTCACTCAAACTG